ACATACATACATAAACTTTAAATATCAAGAATTTGACGTTGATTGTCGTTTAGTTTAGTTTAGAGAGGGAAGACGGCAGCCCCAGCGCTGTCACTCAGCACTAGGCCAGTAGAAGGCTCATCGGCGTCTTTCCACGGTACACACCAACTTCCTAAGTCCATTGAGGTCCCTTGAAAAAGCTTAGCAGATCACTCAGAGACACCTCTGAGAGCTCCTCCAATCCGTCGAACCGATATCCTCCTCCGCATCAGAGCGGGGCACTCACACAGCATATGATGCACATCCTCTATCACCCATCGGGATCTTGGCATCCCCGGCAAGTATCCGATGAGGAAATGCCCAGTCACCTAATTGTCGTTTGTAATTTACTTTTTTTCCGACAGTCTTAAGAAGAAATTAGATTGTAAATTTAATTTCTCTAAATTTCATTCTCAACGATCTGTCACATAATACATTGCTCTAGGTATTTACAAATTACAATAGCCTAGGTCTAGATCGTCCTTTTATAATGAATAATATTTGTTGTAGGCTATTTTTTCTTTAATAATCAATTTTTACACTGACTGCTTGTGAAAATATCAACTAATAGTCTTATAACAAAAGTGCATAATGAAAGAATTAGTTTCGACACTATTCACACAAGCTGAATTAACTAAGTATAACTAACTGAGTATTAATTAAGGAATTACCTTAAATCTGAGTACAAGAGTGTTAATAAATCTATGCATTCTTTGATTATACTATGATAATCCTACAGTAGAAAGTATTATATATTTAATCTGACCATTTCTTATTATATATTTATGACTTTTATTTTATATCTTAATGAAAATCTTATTTGTACATGAAATATATAATGTTTATGTGTGTTAACAATTAATTGTATTTTGATTTTAAGTTATACAAAAGTGGCAACATGTTTATTGAGAAATTTTAAAGAAAAATCTATTTACACGAGCTCATCACATAAAAAATATTGTAATTAAATGATGCAATATTGGTGATAAATTTTTTAAAGTATCTAATAAAAAGTAATGTTGTATATCTGTTATACATTTTATAATTTCATTTAAATGAAGAAAAAAGGGAAATCATATGTTTTATATTATTGAAGTAAATAAAACGAAAAAAAATTGAACTAAATTAAAATATTTTATTCTTATTGTGCGTGTAAAACAGAGAAGAATTTTACAGCAAAAATTTTTTATTATAGAGTTTTGATTATTTTGAATTAATAAAATATTGAAATGAAAATATTGTAACAATTATTGTAAAATAATAGGTCAAGAACATTCAATTTTATTTTTATATTATTATATTCTGGCTTTGTTTTTATGTTTTTTCTTTTATACATACATATTCGAATATTTTGATATTTTAATAAATTTTAAAGATGCCTCTTCATGTTTATAGATTTTTGTCATGTTTTTGATATTTAATTTTTATTCTCAAATTATTTATATTAAATACAATGTATATAAATACATTCTTAAATCATATAGAAACCTTCATATGTCATTCTTATAATATGGGCTTGAATATTTGAAATTTAATATACTACCAAAATGGAAAATAGAAATAATAAAAAAAAAATAAATTATGTGTAAAATTTACGGGTAAAAATTTTTACAAAAAAAAAACTAAAATAATTAATTAGATAGACTTTAGGGTTAAAAGGGTTAAAAATTCGAGGCCGCATCATTTAACAAAAAAAAATATTAAAGGCAACATAGATTATTTATTTTTTTTGAAAATTATTTTGTACTTAATCAATAAAATTTAGGTGACACAATTTTAATAGTCACCGAAAAACCCACAAAAAAAAAAATTAGAGCATTTGTTTTCACATACGGCAACAAATAGTATGCAAATGAAATTAATAGTATGTATGTAAAATGATCACTTATATAGAGTGTCCTTGAAAAATACTCGTGTTTCATTTAAAATGTAATAATATATTCAACATTATTCTTAATTATAAAAATATATTCAAAATATCTGTGTAATGTATTCTTAATTATAATTTGTCATTATTACATTTATTAATATTGTATAAGGACAGCTTATATTTTGATGGTCAATGTTCAAATTTAAACTATGTATGTTAAACTATGTTTGCTAAACTTTGTATATTTTTTGAATTTTGAAAAAAAATTAGGGCATTTGATTATAATATTATAATTTTAGATTGATGATTTAATTTTGAGCCTTGATTGTCAAAAAAAAAACAGAAAATAGAAATACATGCACAAATTATCTCCACTCTTTTCTAATATACGTGACTGATAAGATGTTGTTTAGTAGAATAATTATACCGCAGCTATATACTATTATTTTTATATTACTTGCCTCATTACCTGTTAATATTATATTAAATAAGCTGAATTATGATAAAAATAAAGAAACACTTAATTTTTGTTCATTTGAGTGACGTATAATTTTCGATAAAGAAAATTTTAAAACTGTCCTTTTTTCTTTATGTTGATTTACTGCACATAAAAATTTTAAGCCGTCTACCGGAATTAGTTCACATTCAAGTATAGGTTGAGCTTATGTTTGTAGCCCTTACCAACTAAGGTCTTTATATACTTCAAACTAGACCGCTATTAAAGTAAAAAAAATATTAATCAGGACAAGAAAAACATCTATTTGCAACAAATAAGGCAAATATTGTCAAAATAAAAAAAAAGCTGCTCTAAAGTATAGGTATTAATTTTTTGCTGCAAAATCTGTGGCAGAACTACAAACTAAAACGGTTTTTGTAGTTCAGTAATAAAACGACTACAATAAAGAAGTACAAAAGTGAACACAACCATTTCTTTTAATTACTTGTTCTCCTATGTATGTATGTGTATAAAATGTTATTATTTATTTATTTATTAACAATAAAGTCTAAGAGCCCCAACTCCTTTTGGAATTCCTTGGGCTCAGCTTTACATTGAAAAAATTACAAAATTAATATTTCGTAACTATTATAAAATGTTATAATTGAGACAGCTATTAATCTAAAAATGAACGCACAAAAAAATTAAACAGGTGTTTTTACAGATACTGATATAAAATATTGGCTTTATAATATAATATTTATAATATTTTATAATCTTTACCCGAGAAATTAATTAAAAATCAATATTAAATGATGCATTTTTATATTTTTTAAAAAATTAACTAAATATTTATTTTAAATGAAATAAATCTTCCTTATGTATACTTAAATAATCATAAACCACTATCGTTTCCCCCTTAAACGCCAAATCATGTGTTATAGAATTCAAAGAAAATTTCATATTTAATGGACCATTTAATTATAGTTTTTCTTTAAAAACAAAAAAATTGAAAATAATTTTTAATTTTCTGTTATAACAAGAAGAAGAACAAGATATTATTATACTATATATATATATATATATACATATATTAAACGTGATTATCATAAAATACAATATAACAATATGATTGATAACGCGAAGACGTAACATACATATACATAATATTAATTGTTATACAAAATTATACATATTATGTTTGTAATTATATGTTATGAAAATTATAGTCAGAGAAGAAAATAAATTTTTATTTAAAGTATAAGGGTTTCAAACTCAATTTATTTTCTATAAAAATATAAATAAAAATGTTAATTATCACAAAGAATATTGTGTTTAGATCACCCTGTCAAATGAACCCTATAAGTTTTTAAAGATATGAAATTTTAAAGAAGATTATATATATAATTATAATATTACAACTATATTAAAATTTTGTTATATATATATTCTGCGTGCATGTATATGTATATGTATAATATTTCTCATACAATATTATGATTAAGCCATAATATTATTATAACTAAATGAATAAGCGCACTTTAATTATAAATTTTTTGAATAAGTGTTTGTATATAAATATGCGTATATGTGCATTTGAAATATTTTTCTTTTATTTCTGTCATATGCATAAATATTGAAAAGGGGAATCGTTATTATTAAATGAGAAGTAATTTATTTATGCTCTATTCAAAAATTAAAACAATTTGTAAGATTTTATTATTGTATTTTGTATATTATTATATGCATAATAAAGTGTAATACATGCTGATACAGTATTAAATTACTTATGTTATACATATTGTAAGAAAAAAACATCCTGGGTGTTATTTTTTAATTATTTGAAAAGTAATTTTTTTTAGCAAATTTCAAGTTTGAAATATTTATTATTTAAATTAATTATATTGATTAATGTTGACAATTACATAGAGCATATATGTTGCTGTAGAGGCGAGTATAACAGACAATTTTTGTTCACTCAAAAATGTTTCTATTATTTTTGTTCCGGCTGAAGCCGGTATAATAGTGTTGGCTTCGACAATATTACCGTTACCATCGCAGACAAATTTTACTTAATAGCGTATAACAAATACATGATAAATGCAATTTCTAATATATTAACATTAAAATGAGTATTACATTAATTTTTTACTGCATATGATTTTTAACAGTTCACTGTTCACAATATAAACCATTCATATAAATTCAATATATATAGACATAGTATGTTGAATATTTTAATACTCAACGTATACAATTTTATACTCAGTGTTGAATTTAAAATCGATTTATATGAATTAAAAGTGAAATAATAATAATAAAAAACAACAAAAATATGAAAAATTATAAATGAAAAATGACAATATAAAGCCAATGTATGTATGTATTAAATTTCACACTTACATACATATTTTTTACAAGTAAGCGTCACGCATTTCATTAAAGATTTGAAAAACTGAAGTTCTGATTATACCCTTTAATTTGAGCATTAACATTTTCTATTTGTATACATTTAAATGTCATGTAAAAATATATTGAGTATAATAAAAAACAAACAAAAAATAAAATAAAATAAAAATGTTTAAATTGGGTCAAAACGGGTCAATACGCGTCATATTCAGAGCAACTTCTTTAAAACAATAATCTCTGGTTCTGATCGAAAATTGAGTATTTGCAAAGGAGTCGTTGTCGTGAACGGAAGGTTTAAAATTCGAAGCTCCAATTTTTATTTTAAAAAATTTTTTATTTTGAATTTTAATTTTTTATTTTTTTTTTTTTATATAGTTCGAGAAACCAAACTTATACATTTATAAATTTATGTTTGTCTCGATTTTATTTTAAATTTGAGAGAAGAGCTAGGCTTCTTTGAATTTAACATAACGTGAATATTTTTGTAAAAAATTTTTTTTCTTCATTTCGATTTCGTACGATTACGCGTTTGGTTCTCAGCGATTTTATAAACTCGGATCAATATATAATTTTTGTGATATAAAATTGATTAAAGAAAATAAATGAAATAAAAAAAAATTATTACAATTACGAAAAAAAAAATAAGTAGAAATTATAGTGAGAAATAAAATAAAAAAAAAAGTAAAATAGGGGGGAAAAATTAAATTAAAAATAAAAATATTAAAGTTTAAAGTCTAAAAATTTTTTATAGTGAAATAAAAATTTGCAATATATTAGAGAACAATGCTATCATAAAAAAATTTTTTAAAAGGAAAATCTTATAATTAATGAAAAATTAAATAATTAAGATTATTGAAAAAAAATTTATAGCTAACGAATTAAAAATATAATTTTTTTTTTTAAAAATGTTACTGCCCAAAAATTGGGCAATTCCATTCCTAATATTGTTATCATTCAATTATATTGAATGTGCTAGTATTGCGGTAAGTTTTGAATTTTTTTTGTGTATTATATATTATATATAACTATTTATAAAAGAAGGTTTATACAATTTGTGCTTTTTGATAAAAAAACCAAAAGTGACTAACACTAGGACTAATGCTATCTTTTGTTTTACTATAAATTTTTGGAAAAAAAAATTTGGTATTGGGCGTCCGATAAGTTGCCTAATTTTATGTCTGTAGGTAATAGTTAATAAACATCAAGTTCGGAAAATCCATAAATTTTGCTTTGATTATTCAAAAATGAATTTCAAAAACAAAAACCTGAAATATAAAAATGAAACTTCAAATAAAAATATGGATGTATAATTATGTATATATTTATGTGCACCTCTAGAATTCGTAAATTTCTGATTTTCGTTCTTCTTTTTTTTCTTTCTTAGAGTTTTTCTTTCAGAATTAGGTGAATCAAGCTAAGTACGTACTTTATACTAAATTTATTGAGTGTTTTAAAAGATTTTTATTATTTAATTTTAATTGCTATCTTTCTGCTCCATAACTTATTTACATAACATTTTTAGTGTTTCTATGTCGTATGATTCCATAGTTACAAGCATTTATTTATATGGATGAAAAGTCTGGCATCTTTTTTTTCAACAGGGTGTAGTTCGAATACGAGTATATCTGTAACCCCCTCTCAACCATACAATTTTTTTGCTGAAACTTGACTAAAGAATCATCTCTGAAATTATTTGCCACCTTATGCAAAACACGCTGTATAATGAAATTGTCATAGAGAACAATGATTTTTGTAACTTACTGTAAACTATTGCCAGGAAAAATTTGAAGTATTTTATACCCTTTAAGAGGAGTGGAGTCAATATGTTGAAAAAATAAATTAATAAATTTTTAATTACTACATGTATATAGTGATATGTAAGAGAATATGTAAATAATTAATTATTATATACGCACCCACGAGAATCGTATATATGGAAATAATATAATTAAATATAAATAATAATGGTAAATTTATTATTACAATTTATTAAACTTGTTTTTTCGAATTTTGTTAATTTATTTCGAATAAAATTGTAATCAAATTTATGACAGTCTTCATTAAATTATAAAATAATTTTAGTCTAATTAATAAAAATAAAGACACAAAATATAATTCGACTTATAGGTTGGCTGAGTTATGTATTAATTGCGTTCGTCCATTATTTATTTCTGTTTAGACCATTTTATTTATAGGAACATTTCCAACCGTATATACGAATACAAATGTAAACATAAACATTTAATTTTCTTTACTATTCAAGTAATCAATTTTAAAAATTTTTTATATTATTCAATTATAGTTGCATTATGTTTTTCCATATTTCATTTAATTGAAATTAATTTTAAAATATAATAAAAATTGATAATATATGTAATTGTGTCTATTTATATATAAAAAATTAGTATTTTTTATTGATTTTAATAATGTGATTGCTCCATATTTTAATTCAATTGTTAATTATTTCTATAATAAATTTGAACATATTTAAAATTAAAAATTTGCATACGTAAATAAAAATACATGCTGTACAATTGCAAAAATTTATATATTATATAAAATTAATGAATAATATTATAAGGAACGTTAGTTTTAAAGTAGGAATGTTTCTATATTAAGATGTTTATTAAATCGCCAGTACACCTGTACCGGAAATAAGTATGTGAATAATCTTTAGGATTGTGAATTAGCAATGTGAATTAGCAAAGGAGGATTTTTATTTTCATATTAAATGAATTATTTTGATCTGTGTAGGTACTAAATTTTATAAATTTATTTTCTCAAATATCCAATTTTAAAAATGAAAATTATGGTTTTAAAAATACGCTTAATGGTACCAAATATTATTAACGTGCTCACTTTTACATGGTACAATAATATTATATGGAAATTTTTTTTTTAACAGGTTTAATTATACATACTTGTTTGTATATGCTAAACTGTTATATATCGTTAAATTGAACTTTTCAAACTATTTCGGAGTTCTCGGGAGTACCTTGCAAATGCATTTGTATACGAGAATTAAAACTAACCCATAAATTTAAATAATGGAATCGTAATTTAACTACTCTAAAAATGATCAACTTTGATCATTTTTATTTATAGACCGCTTCACATTTGTTTCACAGCTTACCTTTTGGTGAAATTTTTTTTTTTTTTAATACAGGTATTAAAAATTATCGAAAGACAAAGATAGGTGGACCCAAATTGACATCAGACCTATCAAGAAGGATTTCAACTCAACCTAAAACACACCTGGATGTTTAAAAAATCCTAAAGTCAAACTGGCGAACCATTAGTCTTGCCCTATCGTGTTTTTGCACCCATATTCCGTAAAGGAAGGCATTCAAGTGCTGTCACAGCACTTTAGGCTAATTCGAGAGGTCTCATTCGCTTCAGTATTTTTGTCCAAACCCCCTCTCTCCTATATTTATTCTGGTTTTAGTCATTTAATGATTATTTTTAATATTACTGTTATCTTGTATATTATTATACTCTAGTTTTAATTTTTAATTTTATTTTACATTCATTTATTTTTTGTATTATGCATTAGGCGTGTTCTTTTTTCAGTAGTATCCCTATTCCCTGACCTCAATTACTATAATTTTTATCTATAATTTTTACATATTCTTTTGAATGACGTAAGAGTCATTCTCTACCAATTTTTACGTATAACAATAAAGAAAAAAATAAAAAAATATTTTCACTTTATTTAAAAAAAAAAATCCAATTTGATGTTATCATTTTCCAAAATATGACATTTATAGATCCCGGCAAAAAGATTTATTATAGTGTAGGGCAATTTTTAATAAAGAAGATTTTTATTGTTAAATAATATTTAAAACGGAAATTGATAAGGGAAGTAAGTCATCTCCAAAAATAGTTTGTTTTCTTTACATTTCCATGAATTTATTTTTGAATAAATTTTTAATCGCTTAGTGGCAAGCTTTTAAAAACTTTCATTTTTAAATTCAACCATTGATCACTGACCATTGACATTTTCAATAATAAAAAAAAAAAAAACAACTTGCAATAATTATCAATTTTTGGAAAAAGAAAGAACTTTATTGATGTAATCATTTATCAGTGAGTTGACAAAATAAATTAAGAGTATATAGAGTTCCCACCTTAGCATAGATTTAATTAAACGTCATCAAGCGTGGTTGTTAATAAAGTTGAGTCAAACCAATGGTTTGTATTGTAGCACTTTTCCCTTCAACAAGTGAAAATTCTGCTTTTAAATACAGTCTATGTATAGCTATCACACTATTAAAATTATTTTCATTCATATACAAAACTATTTCGGAGATTGCATATATGTAGGATGAACAATTTATGCAGTCTTTGAAATAAAGCAAAAATTAATATAAAGTGGGGTTAACATATTGCTCGATTTTAAGGGTTAATTGTGTGAGTTAAGAAAAATGATTATATTTTTTAATGTCATGGAATTTACCGTTTGCTTTTTGCGTTCATAGAAATTTGAAAAAGCTTGCGGTTTCGGAAATATAAGGTGTCAAAAATTCAAATTTTACAAAATTCAAGAGGCGATAACTTGAGAGGGGGAGAAAAATTTTCTTCTAACAAAATAAACTATTTGTTAATGTCTAAAAGCTCCTAAAATTTCAGGCTCTTACAGGCTGGGGTCTAGAAGAAAAACGACATCAAAAATTTGGAAAAAAAGGACTTTAGATAACGGTAAATTTGAACGGCCATTTGCAGCAAATAGTTAAAAAAGGCCATTTTTAGGGTTTTGGGCGGGTATAGCTTCTAGAGGGGGGGAGATAGGTAAAAATTTTGTTCTACGGAAATAAGTTTCTAGTAAAGATCTATGTACATACAAAATTTCAGCTTTCTATCTTCAAGGGTGTAAAAGTTTTGTAAACAAAAAAAGTGTCCACGGACGGACGGACGGACAGAGTGAAACTAATAAGCACTTTTTTCAAAAAATTTTTGGAAAAGTGCTAAAAATGAAATAAATGACACTTGATTGACTTTTCATTAATTTAGGAAATAATCTTGGAATAGGTTCTTACATACATTTTATATTTTGTATTTGGTAATTTCGAGTTTGCTTAAAGCATTTTGCATGTTTATCAAATTAAAAAGATTTTAAAATTAGAAACAATATTGGTTTATAAACGACCTTATGGTCGTTTGTTTAGTTTACTCATTTATTTGATTCACAATCATAGATTTGCAAAATTTTTAATTATATTTCGACCATAAATTAAAATTAATTATTTTAATTTTTTCAGGAAGTAGATAATGTAAATGAAGTTTTTGACGAAGATGGAAACCTTATTGGAACACAACGTAATGCAAGAAGTTTACGAGGACGGTATGAATTTTATATTATATGAAATATTATTTTGAATATGTTTCATAACATTTTAATTACTTTAGTGCCAGAGGACAAACCCAATCACAGTATTTAAATTTTGGCAATCCAGAATTAGAAGGTAAAGCTGAAGCTGAAGCTTCAGAATCAGGATCCAGATCATTTGTAGGTAAGATATAGAACCAAAACAAAAGTAGATGAAATATGTATTCATAAAACAGTTTTTTTTTATTAAATATTTATTTTATTTAGTAAGCACACATGGAATGGGTCAGGCTCAAAGTCAATTTTCTTCTGGAGATTGTAGTGGATGTGGACCAAGTTCCTACGGATTAGGTATTTTTTTTAGACTGACTTTAAAATTCAACATTTGAAAATTTATATGTGTTACACTGTCATTTTAGATTCTTCACCAGATCCGTATACTGCTCTTGGTGGAACTGGACAGGATGGTATTGGTTCTCAGAGTATGGCAATGCAAAGGCCAGGAGAAGGTGGCAGACCTGGAACATCTTCCGTAATGCAACAAATTCCTGGATTACAAGGTGGTCAACAACCTGGCCAACTACATACAGGAAGTGGTCAAACTGGAGGAGCTTATGGTCAACCAGGAGCTGGTGGTGTGACGGGACAACCTGGTAGCGGCATAGGTTCTGATCAGTGGGGTGTTCGACCGGGTCAAGATGGCGGTATTTACGGTCAGACAGGTACTGGCGGGAGACCTGGTCAATCTGGTAGTGGTGTAACAGGACAACCTGGTAGCGGCATAGGTTCTGATCAATGGGGTGGCCGTCCTGGTCAAGATGGTGGTATTTACGGACAAACAGGCACTGGGGGAAGAGCTGGACAGCCCGGTGCTGGATCTACGTCAGGTCATCCTAGCAATGGAATTGGTCAAGCTGGTAATGGATATGGTCAAGGTGGTAATGGATATGGTCAAATCGGAACAGATGGTAGATCTGGTCAACCTGAGGGAGCCGGTCTATCAGGCCATCCTGGTGTTGTAACCGGAACTGGACAAATAGTTGACGGGTATGGTCAAATTAGACCAGGAGCGAGACCGGGCCAACCTGGTTCTGGTCAACAAGGTATTGCAAATGGTGCAGGTCAGCCAATAAACGGATACGGACAAATTGGTACAGGAGGTAGACCAGGCCAGGAAGGTACAATATACGGTCAGAATGGATTGAGTGGAAGACCAGGAGGAATTGGAGGCTTATCTGGTCAAGCTGGGACGGGTCAACAAACTAATGGTTATGGTGTTGGGCGGGATGGCACACTACACGGTCAAAATGGACTCGGTAGTGGAAGTATAGATGGCCAAATCGGTGGCAGGCCAGGATCAGATCAACAAACAAATGGATATGGTTATCCTGCCTCAGCAGGAGGTCCTGGAGCGGGAACAAATGGTGTTTTTTATGGACAAACAGGTGCAAGAGGGCGACCCGGACAACCTGGTGGAGAAGGTACAGCGGGGCAAACTGGTACAGGCATTGGAAGTAATCAATTGGAAAATGGATATGGAACAGCTAGTGGAAGACCGGGCCAGAATGGAATCGGTGGAGGAGCTGGCCAAGTTAACGGCTATGGGCAATCAGGAACTGGTTCAAGACCTGGTCTTGGAGGTATTGGGACCGATGGAACCGTTTATGGTCAAAATGGTGCAGGAGGTGGAAATGGATATGGACAGTCAAGTGGTAGAACTGGTAATGGCGGAATAAATGGAGCAGGTCAACAAGTCAACGGTCATGTACAGCCTGGTGTTGGTTTGAGGCCTGGGCAAAATGGAGTTTCATATGGGCAACCAGGATCCGGTAGTAGATCAGGACAACCAGGAACAACGGGAATATCGGGGCAGCCAGGTGCTGGGGTGGGAGAAGGTCAATATACAAACGGTTATGGTCAACCAGGAACTAGTGGAGCAAGTCAAATTGGTGATGGCGCGGGTACGATCAACGGATATGGAAAACCTGGAGTTGGAACAGGTCAAATTACTAATGGTTATGGGCAGCAGGGAATAGGTGGGAGAAGACCTGGCCAAAATGGGGGGTTATATTCTCAAACAGGAGCTAATGGAAGGCAAAGTGCACATGGAATTGGGGGAGGAGCAGAAGGAATTAATGGCTATGGTGGATCAGGCATAAGTGGAAGGCCAGGAACTATATCTGACAACGGATTGTATGGTCAACAGGGTGTCGGAGGAAGAGCTGGCCAACATGGTGCTACTGGAATTGTAGATCATTCAGGCTCTAGTGTAGGTGGACAGCTATTAGGGCATCCAGGTAGTTACCCTGGCGCAGGACATCCTCATTCATTACGAGGAGGTTAGTTTTTTCTGTATGAAGTAATATGTTGACAAACAAATAAGTTCTCCCTTTTGTAGATGGCACACACATTTTAACAGTTCCAGGAAAAGACCAAACTATGTATAAAGATCATGATGGACTGACCGTGCTAGTTGGAACTGGTGGACCTCATCAAACAGTAATAACAGATCGACATCCTTCACAAGGTGGTTTACATTTTATTCCGGGTCACTCAGAAGGTCCAGCCAAACAAACTGCGCATACATCAGGAAAAGGTCTTACAGTATTGATTGGCACTGGCGGGCCTACTCAAACGGTCCACCAAGTAGGTGGTAAGTGTAACACTATTTTTAGCATTGTTTCGCACATACATATGTATATTCAAAACATATTTGCATTTGATTCCTATTTAACGTTTTTAATAATTTTGAATTTGTCTTGCGATATTGGGGATGCATATAAATTATTTTTTTCAATGGGTTTGTGCATATAGTATTCTAGAGTGGTACAGTAAATGTTGTTTAACTATAAAATTTACAAATTTATGCTTTGGGACTTTTAAAAGAAAGTAACATAATTCACAATTCAGCAGCTGAAGAATATGTTATTTAAAACATACATACGTAGTTATTAAATATTACATATTATTTAATAGGATATTAAAACAAAATATTCTCATTTTGAAACGTCCTATTCTTTATTTAAAAAAAAAATCATCCAAAATTTTTTCAATAGTCTTAAATAATTTCTTTCAGGGTTTTAAATAAATAAAACCTTTTTGACAACTTTTGATTGTTTGAATTGTGTGGCTTTTTAAAACAAAATGTTATGTATAATGCCGTTTTAAGTGCAATACTACATTATTTTAATCTTTTATTATTAGGCGGCGGTTACGGACCTTCTGGTCTTACACAATATCCTGGATCAGGTGGTGGAACTGGTGCTATTGATGGCAGTGGAATTGGGCCAAGTGGTGGAGGTTTTGGACCTGGAGGTGCTGGTGGAATTGGGCCTGGTGGTGTAGGTCCTGGTGGAATTGGACCTGGTGGTGTACGTCCTGGCGGAATTGGACCTGGCGGTGTAGGTCCTGGTGGTGTTGGTCCTGGTAGTATTGGTCCTGGTGGAGTTGGTGGTGGTTTTGGACCTGGTGGTGTTGGCCCTGGTGGTGTTGGTCCTGGTGGTATTGGCTCTGGTGGTATTGGTCCTGGTGGAGTTGGTGGTGGTTTTGGACCTGGTGGTGTTGGCCCTGGCGGTGTTGGCCCTGGTGGTATTGGCTCTGGTGGTATTGGTCCTGGTGGTATTGGCCCTGGTGGCATCAGCGGTGGAGGTTTTGGACCTGGCGGCACTGGTGGAATTGGTCCTGGTGGGCCGAGTGGCGTTGGTTCTGGTGGCGGTTTCGGACCAGGCGGTGTTGGCCGTGGTGCCGGTGGATCAGGTGTTGGAGGTGTTGGCGGGATTGGTGCAGGTCCAGGTGGCGTCGGTGGTGGTGGTTTTGGACCTGGGGGTGCTGGTGGTATTGGTTCTGGTAGCATTGGTGGCGGCTTTGGACCAGGAGGAGTTGGTGGAATTGGTCCCGGGGGTATCGGTGGTGGCGGAATAGGACCTGGCGGCGTTAGTCCAGGAGGAGTCGGAGGTACTGGTGGTACTGGTCCCGGAGGTATTAGTGGCGGTTTTGGGCCTGGTGGTGTTGGTCCTGGTGGAGTCGGACAAGGGGTTGGAGGAGTTGGTGGTGCTGGTACTGGTCCAGGTGGAATTGGCGGTGGTGGTTTTGGGCCTGGTGGAATTGGTTCTGGGGGTGTGGGTCCCGGTGGTGTAGGTCCGGGTGGTATCGGCGGTGGCAGTATTGGGTCTGGTGGTTTAGGTGCTGGCGGAATCGGGCCCGGCGGTGTAGGTTCTGGTGGTGCTGGCCCTGGTGGTATTAGTGGTGGTTTTGGGCCTGGCGGTGTAGGTCCGGGTGGTGTCGGTCCTGGTGGTATTAGTGGCGGCTTTGGGCCTGGTGGTGTAGGCCCTGGTGGTGTAGGCCCTGGTGGTGTTGGTTCTGGTGGTATTGGTGGCGGTTTTGGGCCTGGTGGAGTTGGTTCTAATGGTATTGGTGGTGGTTTTGGACCTGGCGGTATTGGCTCTGGTGGAGCCGGACAAGGCGTGGGAGGAGTTGGTGGTATTGGTACTGGTCCAGGTGGCATTGGCGGCGGTGGTTTTGGGCCTGGTGGAATTGGTTCTGGAGGTATGGGTCCCGGTGGTATTGGTCCTGGTGGTATCAGCAGCGGAGGTATTGGGCCTGGTGGTGCTGGAGCTGGCGGAGTTGGGCCTGGCGGTGTAGGTGGTGTTGGGCCTGGTGGTATTGGCAACGGTTTTGGGCCTGGCAGTGTAGGCTCGGCTGGTGTTGGTCCTGGTGCTACTGGAGGCGGTTTTGGGCCTGGTGGAGTTGGAGGTGTTGGTGGTACTGGATCAGGTAGCACTGACGGCGGAGGTTTCGGACCTGGTGGCGGATTCGGACCGGGAGGTGTAGGTCCCGGTGGTATTGGTGGCGGTTTCGGGCCTGGTGGTTTTGGCCCAGGTGGAGCTGGACAAGGAGTCGGAGGAGTTGGCGGTATTGGTACAGGCCCAGGTGGTATTGGCGGTGGTGGTTTTGGGCCTGATGGTGTTGGCACTGGTGGAATTGGCCCTGGTGGTGTTGGTCCAGGTGGTATTGGCGGTGGGGGTATTGGGCCTGGTGGTGCTGGCGGAATTGGGCCTGGTGGTGTTGGTCATGGTGGTATTGGTACCGGTCCAGGTGGTATTGGTGGCAGCGGTTTTAGGCCTGGTGGTGCTGGCCCTGGCGGAATCGGACCAGGTGGAGTCATTAGTGGTGCTGGGGGATTTGACGGCTATGATGGGGGATCTCCTGGTGGTGGATACAGAATGGGACCAGCCGGTCTCACGGCAGGTGGTCAACTTGCTGGTGGAATTGGCGGTGATGAATTCTCTCAAGCTGAATCTTCTGTTAAAGATGGGCAGGCTAGTGCAAGTGCGCAAGGTAAAAAAAATGGCGGAACAGCTCAAACTCAAGTATCTGGTACTTATTCCAACGGTGGAACGTTTAGCGCAAGTGCAATGACAGCAGATTCGGACAGATCTGCAAGTGCTCAAGTACAAGGAAGTCCTGATGGAGCGCAAAGCCAAGCTCAAGGTAGCGGAGGATCAGGAAAATCCCAATCACAAGTTCAAGTGAACTCAAAAACAGGCAGTACTACTTCTTCGGCTCAAAGTAGCGGTATTGTTCAACAAACTCAAAGCGAGGTAAAATATGAAATGAATACTTCTTATTAAAAGTATTTTATTCCTCATTTCAATTAATTAAGGTCACCGCAAATGAAAAAGGTGGACTAGCCGATGCTCAATCTAGCGGCCCCGGACAAACTTCTTCACAAGCTCAAATAGGATTTAAGCCGCAAAATTCACAAGCTAACGGTGATGATGGTGCTACTTTTAATGGTGGTGGACAATCGTCAGCTCAATCTGGTGCATATAACGGTCAATCTCAGGCACAAATAAATGGCAACTTCAAGTAAGTTTAAAATATCTTAATGCATAAAATATTGAAATATAATTTTATGCATTTTTTTTATCTATGTTAATTTAGATATGGAATATCGTACCATGGAGCAGCACAAGCAGCTTCTGGAACCAAAGAACAAGTAGATGTTTATAGAGAGCAAAATAAAGTTTTATTTCAACAAATAAGCGAGATGGAGTCATCACCGAGGTATTATTAAATTATTTTAAGTTTGTGTTCTTCGTTAAATTATAAGTTAAAATAATATTTGTATACATATATATATATATATGAATGTATTAAATTTATTAAAAAAATATCTTGTAATGACCTTGACATACTTTTCAATTCTACTAATTATTAATTCATTATTAATCTGTTGTTATTTCCTGTTTTGTCTTGTCATCGATGTTAAATGAGTTCAAAAATAATCGGTTTTTATTACTCATTAATGTCCACTGATAATTTTACATTATTTTTTTTTTGCGAATTTTTTCTATTTCGTTCATTGCTCTTTTTAGATTAATACAAAAACAGTTAGATCAATACAAAAAAAAATTTGTTCAGCTGATAGAAAATAAACTTCTACTTTGAATGAGTATGGCTTAAAAAGTTCAAATTTTTTATTCAAAGTCTTTAAAAAAGAAAATCAATTAAAATTTTTTTATTGTAATTACTTGTATTTGAATTGAACATTTTAGTTCAATGGCAGATCGTTTTTTATTAAGGAAGCAGTTATTTGTTTAAAGGCGGTTTTAATTAAATGGTTAAAACTTGCGCAGTAAGTGCAAGTGACTCAGGTACGTTTAATATATTTAAAATAAAAAAAAAATAAAATCTTATTTTTAAATTAAATCTTAAATTTACGTAAATAGATTTTCAACGTATTTTTAAAATATAAACAATCGCACTTATGGTGGTGTAATTAAAGAATATTATAATGATATAATTATTGTAACATACACGATTTTGAAAGGCAATTTTTCTCTATCTTAAAGATATTGTGTAAACTCAGTTGTTAACACAAAATAGTTTAAATAAATTCTTCGTCGTATATAAAAATTTATCATTTCAGCATGCAAAAAAGAACAACTAAGTTCCCTTTCTGTCAAATAATTGATAGAGAATTGGATACAAAATACAGGATGAATTTTTAGCCAAGAGTTTCCAAATTTTGGAATGATTTGTCATTGTATGTATTAAAAAATAATGTTAATGAGAACATAAACAGGGCAAGTAAATATTTTTGATAAAAATTGCATATGCTTATATAATGCAACCTTTTAAAGAAATCAAGTTTAGATTATAAGTAAATTTTATAAAAATTAAATGTCTTAGTTTTTAATTTTTATTCAAGACAAGGAATATTATATTGCGAATGATTTGATATTTTGAGTTAATGTGACATGTCGTTTCTCAAATTATAAATTTTTCAAGATTTCTTTATATATGGAAACAATCATCTTAACTCTTATAGAGTTAAAAGAAACTATTATTGACCTACGTTAATAATCCGTGAATTCGAAATTGCAGTAACATTTTAGTGCTAAATAATTCAGCAAATACAACGGATAATTTATTAATTGTGATTCAATTACCGTATTACTGCAACTTTGAAGTCATTGAATTATTTTAAGTTTAAATTTTTCACAAAAATGTTTTCCAGCTATGATTTTTGTTGACTTTACTTATTTTTTAATATTTTACTTCTAGTAATATTCAAGGAACTGATGCAATAACTGGACCACATCTTCCACAACAAGGTGCATATCGTCAATTGAAAGAATCTAAACCAGTAGTCGGTAATTATAATTCTATATAAATTCTAGAATTATAATATACTTATGCATGGATTTCCGAATATTAATAAACAATTTTTTTTTTGTTTAATTTAATAATGCAGAAAAACAAAATGATAAAGTTGATGAAGAGCCTGAATATGATGATGAAGATGAAGATGATGAATATAATGAAGAAGAATATGAAGATAATTCACCACCAATAAAACCATTAGAACCAAAATCAAGTAAAAAAGTTGAAACATCAACAAAAAAATCTGATTCATTATTACAAATACCGATAACAACATCAACATCAAGATCAACAGATATTGAATCATCAACAATACATATACCATTAAAAAGTACAATAAAATCACATTTACAAACAACAATGAAACCACATCCTATTTATGATAGATTAAGAAAAGAAAATGAAAATAAAAGATTAAATAAAGATAAAATTCCAGATGGTTTTCGTGGTACAATTAGTACAGAAAAAAAATATATAACAAAATTTTTACCATCAAGACATGATAATGATATGAAACCGAATGAACCAATTGATGGTGTCGATAGTAATGGTGGTGTTGATGAAATTCTTAAACCAGAAAGTTTTGTTACTGTTACAAAATCTGTAACTGGTAGCTTAGATAATAGTAAAAACCCACCAAGTGAAAATAAAAATTTCTCATCAACATATTATACAAAATCCTCGACATGCGGTTATTTTACATTCTCATGTAATATAGTTTATGGTGCAAATGGTAAAACAAAAGTATGTAGACCAAAGAAACCAGATAATGGTAAATGTTAGATGTATTAATAAATATTTTTATAATATTATTATTAAAAGAAAAAATTTGTAATTGTAATGGTAATAGAATTTGTACTATTTTTTTTTTATATAATTTGTTTATTAAGAAATTTAATTTATAACTCTATTTTGTATGTTCTTAAAATAATTTTTAGTACCTACATATGTATATGAAATTCTTACTTATTAAATGAAATTGCTAATTAAAATTACTAAATGAAAATTGTGTATAAAAGAAAATTTCTAAATTTCACTATGTAAATTTTTGCTATTTCCAAAAATTAATTCAAATTCAATATACGTAAATTTTGAGCTAGGGTTTTAGTTGCTAATTCAAAATATTTGTAATTGATTTGTTATTGAAATAGAAATTATAATTTTTAACATGTTGAATCATCCATAAAAATTGTAATATAACTCTACTTAAAAACTATGTAGAAAATACAAAAATACTAGAGCATGTACTAGAGGATGCAAAACAAATTGGAGAATTTGTCATAAAATACTAAATTTTAAAATTTTTTAAATTATTAAACCATATTACATTTTGTGCCATATAGCAATTTGCAAAATAAATAAGGAAAATTTGGTGTACTAGCATGTTTTAAGATGCATGTGCCAAAGCTTTATATAAGTTTGGTCCAATATTTTGTATACCAATACGCTCATTATGGCGAAAATGATAGAATATTTATCAGAATCAATAAGAACGCTCGCTAGCCACTGATATTATAATTATTATTGATGATTCTAATATGTTAATTATGTGTTTTGTGCGAATACCAAATTATTTTACAATAAATTAAATTATTAATAGTTTTTATATGAAAATAAACTTAACCAATTTTGAATTAGCAACACTCTTGTTCATTGTGAGCGAATATTACAATAAAAATATAATAATATCTAATATAATTGTATTAATAAAGACATTTGAATTTTGTAAAATTTGACATAATTGCCGATTATAAATAGTTTTGTAAAATGTTATTGCCAAAAAAATACTGCCAATCTTTATTTGTTTTCGCTTTAAAACTCAAACTTAAGTTTTGTTGATAAAAAAATTTTTAAAATATAAAATAAAAAAAAAAAAATTAATTGTAATTTTTAGGAAATTCTAATGATTTTTGTATTTTTTTTTAGAAATAAAAATAATAAATAATTAATTTAAATTAATAATGTATGTTTATTTTTATTAAAATTTACACAGTACCTTGCTGGTTTGCTGGCTTCCTATGTAGCAAATGCTGGCTAGATATGTAGCACTTCCAATGATTCATTTTTGTTTTCATTTAATTCTTCTTCTCAAACAAACATCTCTTAGTATTCTAATTTCAATTCTAAATTATTGATAAATTTTCTATTTATTTAAATATTAAAATCCATTTTAATTTAAATTGAATACTTTTATTACACTGTAGAATTTTTTTAGTAAATGAATTTAAAAATAAATAAGTTGACTGTTTGACAATGACATTGCTTTTGACAATTTGAATAATTTTAAAAGGCATTCACAATCAAAAATCTTTAAATCAAAACTAAGCTAAAATTATTGTGAATTATATACATATCTTAGATAAAAAAGTATTTTTTCATAAAAATGTTTCTTATGTGAACAAAAACATCAAAAAAATTTTTTATCCAAAACAGAGAAAGGATAATAATTACAATAAATGTTTTTGAAGATTTTGTCGTAACCATAACCAATATTTTCAGATATTGGATTGAAACTTTGATTAATATGTATTTACGAAAAAAAAATTAACTTTTCTCAAAATATTTCCCCTAATTTGAAAAAAAAAAAAAAATTTTACCGTTTCATCCTTTAGAAATGATTCAGCGCAGGGAAAAAATTTTTACATACTTGTATGTTTCATAACGAAAAAAAAGTTTAAAAAGGTTTATGACTTTACTAAATTCCCTTTTTTATTAATATGCATGATTTAGTGAAGAAAGGAAAATAAATTTTGTGCTCTATAGCCTTTTAAGTACAAATTAAATTTTTAAAAAGGATAAGAAGATCCTATGAGTTAGTAAATAATATGTACTCGTATTATTCTTATCGGATTTACCTACTATAATAATTGTCTCTTGCCAAAGGTTTAGCTAATCAATTTGATAATTTTGAACAAAAAAATTCTGTGGTTCTAGTTGTAATATCGAACCTGGTTAAATTGGACATTTAGTGTAGTCGGCTTAAATGTGTCTGACGGTGTTGACACAGGTGTTATTGGTGAGTATATCAATAGAATGAAAATAAGTTCATGTTTTTTATAAAATTTAAGAGCATGTGACTATATATTTACAAGAACATAATTATAACGGGATATGCATAAGTTTGCACACATATAAGAAATATTGAATTTTCTTATACAATTCTTATACAATTCATGTTGGAGTGTGTACGTTTGTATTGAATATCAATTGTTGTATGCTTAATAAATTTATAGATTTTCTTATTATTCATTCGGATAAATTTGTAACAAAAAATATAGGTAAAATAAATTAAATTACCTGAAAGCATTTTTTTGCACTAATAGCTATTTTTAAAAAGTTTAAGTTCTAAGCTTGCAAAAGAAAAAGAAATATAATAAAAATAAAAAATTAATTAGAAGAAAACCAAAAATTAGTTTTAATTTATGTGATGATCCTTGAGGATATTGAATATCAGTATTAGTTAACCATTTTAATTTTCACACGAAAATTAATTTGATTTTAAATTTTAGTTCAAATTATAAAAATTAATTTTTTTTTTTCAAAAAACAATTCTACCTTGTTCCAATTGCAAGCTTCAGTTAATCTTTAAATCTAATTAATCCCACAATTTTTATTTCATTTTTTAGGAGAATGCGTGCATTTCTTTTAACAAAAATTGCCAGTTGAGCATAGCTGAGCGTAATTCGTGAATGGTGCAATATGTTTAAGGGGTAAAAAATAATCTTGAGAATTTAATAAACTTAATATTGAAAATTTAAAGTTAATTTTCTTTATCAAAATTTGAAGTCATCTCAGGGAAAATATGTTTGTTACTACTTCTATCGTTTACACTTCTATATAAGCTGGATGTACACATATAAAACACGTAGTCGTGACATGATTCGTAAAAGGAACACTTACAATATTTCATGGCACAAATATAACAAATTCTCATTAAAGCAAATTTCTGATTATTGCAGTGCACTGAAGACACCAACGTCCTGTGATATTAAAAATTTTTGGGTTACAAAATTCTGGAATTAAAGAATATTATTTATAAGATAAGAGGCATATGCTTTTCTAGTCAATTAAAATACGAATCATGATTATAAAGATGAAAATAAGAAAAATAAAAAAGTAAGAATGGAAAAAAATTGAATAAACACGTGCACACCTACCACATTTATTCTTATCTTCTTCTTAAATTCCTTTTATGTTCTAAATTTCAAAAAACTTATAGGTATAATAAACTTGTCTTTTGATTTTGAATAATATTCGGAGCTCATAAATTGACTTTCGTGTAGAAGTTTTTATAAATCATGAAAACTGTTATACAAATACACATATACAAATAAACGAATTAAAAACACGGGAAACATACACGACTACCGACATTTTTGCTGTATAATTAAAACAATATACTATTATAACTATCTGGAGCTGTTTTCTAAACACATATGTAACGCATACACCCCTTGATCAAGTTAATTTTTCATTTTCCTATTCTAAAACCAAGAACTTCAGCTCGTATCTCATTAAATTTTCTCTAATAAAAACTTAATATATCCTCTCTTAAGCAGAATTATTATTGGTATAGGTATTTAACATTTCATGTTTAAGTATGTATATGTATATACTTATCTTTATATATGTTTATGCGTGTATTACAAAAATAAATAAATTAAAAGGATAAACATTTATAAAAAAAAAAATAAAAAGTTTTATTAATTTAAACAATTTTTCTTTTGAAAATAAGCTTAAGTATTTTTTTTTTGAATTTCTTTACTGGGAAAATAAACGCTACCTTTAAGAAATAGTTACGCAGTACAAAGTGAGAGAGTAGAAATGGTTATGGGACTGGAGTAAGAAGTGAGATGGAACTATGAGTGTATTAATTTTGAATGTTTTCTTTTTCTTTATAAAAATTCTAAGAAACAATAAAGAGTTAATGGAAAAGTCATTTAATTTTTATTTTCTATTTTTGTTAAAATTTTTAAATTGCTCTTCATACTTATTTAGTATTGTATATATGTATTTATTTAATCAAAATGATAACTGTTAATACATTGAGGAAGATCAACAATTTTATTTTTTTGTTTTTATTAGTTTTAGTTGTAATTATTTTGAAATTTTAATTTTTTTTTTGTTTTTTGAGTTTTTTAAGTAAAATTTTTTATTTTTGTTTTTATTCTTATTCTTATTTTAAATATTAAATTAAAAAATATAAACAAAAAAATTACTGTATTATAAATGAATTGGAAAAATTATATTGTATATAAAAAGAAAAATAAACAATAAGAGAAACAAGAAAAAAATTGTTAAACATAACAAAAGAGAGTTTTGTAGTTTTTCTGTAAGTTTTAAAAATTGGGAAGAAAATAAGAGAACATATTGTGATATGAGAATATATTTTGGAGGAGTGGGGAGAAAATATATGGTGGTAATGGTAGGCAAAAACTTTTCCTTGTTTTGTGGTTAAGATTAAATGAAACAAGTTACATTTGTTATAATTCGTACAAAATTAATTGTATAAAAGAAAATATGGTAAATTTCTGTATAACAAATATGATATTGAATTATTCTTTAATAAGTTTTATATTTTTTAAAGGATATACGAATATTCTGAAGTATATATTTTAAAGATAATAATTAAATGTTGTTTTTGGGGGTTTTAAATTCAAATTCATGTATACATATTTTTTAAATTTTTGTTTATGTCTTATACACAAATATTTGCAGAGTTATTAAAATTCAATTTCTACTATTATAACCCACATTTAATGTTTACGAGCATAGAAATTTTTCCTGTATAAATCAATGATTGGTCTATACTTGTAGACGATAAAATCTACATTTCTAGGAATTTGTAATACATTTATGTAATAATAAAGTCGTGAATGCTATGATAAATGTTCATTTCATTTAATTATTTTATTTAAGTAATTATCATTATTATTATCACTGTATTATTGAAATTGAAAACGTTTTCATGCTTATTGGAAAGAAGATAAGCGACAATTATATTTTATTAATGAATAAAATTAAAAGAAAGGTAACAAATGAGAAAAATTGAATACATTATATATAATACTTAATTATTGTATAATAAGCCTATTTTAATATATCCTGGATTTTTTTTATTAATTCATGAACACTATAGGAATTTGATATTAAATGCAATATTATTAGAATGTTATTTAATTATAAGTTAAATAAATAAATATTTAATTCAATTTTTGTTAATTTTTTACAAAAATTTATTAATTATGTATTTAAAATTTATTAATTTAATGCAAAATTAATTAATTTAACAGTAGCACACTCTTTATATTATATACTTACGATAAAAGATCTGTAATTCCTGTATAATAATTGTTGTCCTCAGCAATTAATTAATTTAATATTTTTGTTAACAGTGAGTTGTCTTTTTCAGTTGACTTGTCTTTTAACTTTTCAGTTGTTTTTCATAAATTTTTGGAATTGTACAATACGTACATATATTTTGCTTATTGTTTAGTATGATTCTACACTTCATATTCTTCAATATCCATTTTGGTGTACATTCCTCCTACAATATAATAAAAATTTTCTATTTGAGAATTATAAATTCAAAAATATAATATTCAAAAATTTATATAAAATTCTGTAATAAAATAGCCATTCAAATCGCATTTAATTAAAACAAAAAATCTTTAAAAATTATTTCAACAAATTAAATTTCCTTCATATTTTTCAAAAAAGAAAAAAGGATACTTTATTATTATAATTCAGGGAAATTTGAGAACATTAAAGAAAATGTCAAAATAATTTTATGTGCTGATTTTATATGAGTATTATAAAACAGAAATTATTTCTATAATAAATTTGTAAATAAATTTGCATCCTAAAGTATATTACAAAAAATAAGGGAACCCTTAAAAAATATACTAAGAGGATTAATTTAAGACA